AATTCTGCTGTACGTCGATTAGATAAGCGTGAACACATTTCACCTGTTTTTTTAGATTAGGATTGGTTACCAATCTCTCAGCGTATTGTTTTCAAATTTTAATAACTTGCACGACAAAGCGCCAGATTCGCTGTCTTTTTTAATTAATATTCATGTATCTGTTAGAGCAATTCTTTCCTTGTATACAATTGATTCAATGACCCCAGGTACACTATGGAAAGCGAGTTTTTACTGTAGTAGTTCAAGGCTATGAACCACTACTAGGAACAATTTTCGTGACGAACGTGAAGCGTATTGCATCACAGAAGTTCCTTGTATCACTTTATACAATTTTGTTCCACCATTACTACTTCTAATTATATTTTTCTACTTTTTTACAATTAATTCACAATTAAAATTTTTAATTTACCTGCTGTAATTTTTGATCGTGACAAGCGTAATGGGATTATTTTTTAAGTAATATGCTATATAGTATGTATATGCTAAAAATGTCTTCTTATTAAAAAAATAAAAAAGCAGTAAACAAATAATAAAATAGTAATAATAAAAAAGAAAATAGAAATAAAAGAAAGAAAGAAATACACGCTGTGCGAGACATAAGATTTTCAGCGGATTGCGTTGTGCAACACCTGAGAAAAATACTCGGAAAATATAATTTAGTTTAGTCTTTAACATTTTGTTTAACCTTACTGTTATTCACGATACATGCATGCTATTATCTTCATTTACCCCCAATACAGCAGCTCAATTGCTACCCACTTGACATACAGGTGCCTTAAAGGTAGGCTGTTTGATAATATAAAATAACTTCTAACGACATCAATTACAGCTTGTCAAAATATCGATTTACTAGGTTTATTGGATAAAATTCCGCTGACTTTTCAAATGTCTTTGTTTTGTTGTTATGCTCCATCAAACAAACAGAGCTATTTCGATGAATGAGAAAACTGACCTATTCTATACGAATCCAGCCATTAGTTGACTTTGAAACTGTTTATGTTAATAGGAAAATATAGAACAGACCTTACCAGTGGTAGCTGGTGTTAGAAATGATAGATCACCCATTCCACTAGTGATCCAAATACTGTTTAGTGTGCAAGCCAGAATCAGAACAGGAGATTGTTTATTGCCAGTTGAGAGCAATCAGCTATAAAGTCTTCATTGTCACCAGATTGTATGATTATGTCAAAATATATTAATGATATATGTGAAACTAGCAAACATGAAATAACTCGAAATATTTGACTTACATTTTCTAAGAAGATCTTAATTCGGAAAAAATGACAAAAAAAATAAATATTTCCTAAAATGAATTGTTGATATATCAATACCAATGAATATTCTGACAAATATTAGTATCTGCCATAAATATTATCATATTATAATAAAGACCCATATGTGGAGGCTGGCGAATAAACTCAAATAAGGATAAATCTGTACACGAATCTCTCTTGCAGGTCTATTATGCAAATGCGAAAACTGATTATGCAATTTTGTCATATTTAGTTCGTCACATAAACAAGATGTAGTCATGGTTCCTTGTTGCTGCAGTTTCATCTGATATTTTCAATGCATTTGGTGCCAAGGTCTTGTAACCAATCTCCAACTCTGGGTATGTAGCTGCTGGTTTTACTTATAATTCCTTGCTAAAATAAATAAACAGAAATCCAGACACAGCAACTGATATGATAGATAATTAGTAGTAAACGTATTGAACCGCGTCTTTTGTCTACTGAATTTTAGAATAAAATATCTTGGACATATCGAAGAAAAAACAATATTATTAACAGCAAACATTATATGCCTGATTTGTGCTCCAGGCTATGCCATATTATAAAACTATTCTGTAAACCATTTATTTTCAGAATAGAACTTAATGGGGATAATACGTACATTTATCAATGTACGATGTTGGTGTCATATTAATTTCTGAACAAACAATGGTTAAATGTATAATTGCTGTTAGTAAACACGGTTTACTTTGTTCATTATTATGTTCTCATAATAATGCAGACCAATACATAAAGCTAGTACCTGCCTGGTGACATACCATATTTATTTCATGACATGTCGCATGCTTTAACAATGGGACATACAAATGAAAGTGTGATATCAACATGTACTTCGTTTAGACTTTTATTAACATATTATAACAATTGGAAATAGTGTAACCTTTGATGGAGCAACATGTGGGTTATGCAGGGAAATACATTAGAGGCGATTGTTATACATACACATTACGGATATATATTACATATAAATTGACAACATAATACCCAGTACATGTTCTTTTCTTTGCATTTGCATATACCCGGATACAAAGCACAGGCACATTGGAAACACATATAAATGAAACATGTATTGTATTACAGTTCTTCGAGAATAAAAAACGAATTAAAGATTGCTATTTTACAAGAAGAGTTTTCCACTTTTATCTCTTCATGCAATTTACAGATGTCAGGTCAACTGATAATTAAAATATGCAACTAGCAATACAGCGTGGGTCTGCATGTAGTAGATGTTACGAATACCTGGCCTTGTTTTTAATTGCTGTAACAATATTCAGTTCCTTATCCACATAAAGTAAACTCAGTACAATTGCTATAAGAATACAAAAATTAAATTTATTATCATATTAATATTCTCGTGGGTATAATTTCAGCTGCTTCACCTTGGACTATTTATAACAAACAGACTTGACACCACCCCGTGAGCTTCGTCGGGACGCAGCAATAAGCCACAACATCCCAATTCGCAGCAAGACACTGTACCGAGTAGCACAGTGATTGGACATAGGCTTGTTTTAACAACAATGTTTAAACAAACACACTATGCAAGAGGTTTTGAGATACTATCAAAACAAAATACCAAAACACGTCGAATGTTTCAAAGCGCACAGTTCGAGAAAAAATTCGCGGCAGTACTACTACAAATTACGCCCAATCGTCACAAAATCACAGTTTTTTTCAAGTAAATTAGCTAAATTGCAAGCATGGCAAACCAGTGGCGGATCTAAAGGAGGGGGGTTCTTGGGGTCCGGACCCCACCGTTGAAAAATGTATGCAATTTGTTTTTGTATAATTATATAACTACATCATTTGCGTTTATATTTCCTTTTTCGAGTTTGGATCCCCCTATAAAAATAACCTGTATCCGCCCATGCAAACTAGTTATGTCATTAATATCGCTACGTATCGTGTTCCATTGACACGTTACTGCCGTAAATTCGATAAGAAGGTACCCGGATGAAGGTTGGATTATGTCATCGGAATACGTAACACCTGAATGCGCAAATTTGATTGGCTTCAATGTGCATGGGGTAAAATAGATATATAGATAGAACGGAGCCTTGGCAACGAGTTAAGCATTGAACGAGTTGTGTCGTAAAATGGTAAATATAACCAATACAAAATGTTTTACTTTTTTACGACATTTCCACTTATAGATTTATTTTACATATCATGGCAGTTTACATAATAAAACCGTGTAAATGTCCCGTCTAGGTAGTAATGATTCTTTTAATCTGATTGGTTCTCGCGGGTAGATCAAATGTTTGTCTTCGTCGGCCAACAATCTCCGTGTGCAGCACAGCATATGTTCTGCAGTGATTGAACGTAAAGACGCGAATGGCAGCCGTATTGTAGTCGGCAGTAAAGAAAAAAATACGAGACATGTTCTTCCCCAAAATAGCGCTTCATCTACGGCGGTAATCACGTTCACTGCTTTTTAAAAAAAAAAACTCTGGTATTTGAAACAGTACACGTACAGACGAGACAGAATGAAACACTATGTGAGGGTCACAAACTATTCTCGTACGTCATCATATGGCCACGGTTCTTCTTGAATGCAAAGTAAGTACATAACAAGTCACGACAATTGTTTTACCATGATCCAGTTGACGTATATATTAAAAAAAATAATTTAAAAACAAAACACACTTATAAGGTATCTATAGGTTGATATATTTATTAGAGAAAATAATTTGCTGTGACACGTATTGATTCGGCTAGGGTTACGGTTCTAGTCGTGCGATTAAAAGACTCTTAAAAATAGATTCAATAACCTTTGAATAGATGTGTAACATAATATGTATGGTAACCAAACGAAGGCGGTAACGACGCAAATTACAGTTCCTCGGCTGATGTCACTGAATTAATAATAACGTCATATATCTAGATTTGGGTGCACATACTGGACGTATGCTGCGAAAACAAATTAACATTTATTCTAATTAGCGTAAATGTAATGTTTTGGTTTCGTATTGTGACTGTGTTCCCATACTACGTGTATTAAATTGGCGTAGTTGCACGTTTTCAGCGTGTAATATCATGTGGTACCATTTAATTTCTCATGTGGTATTTTATTGATTTACTTCTGACGCTATACAATAGAAATAGAGTTGCCCTATACTAATTAATATGTACTGATTACCGAGTGTCGAGTTATACGTTTCCAGTATGGAATTCGTTGGGTTATTAGATTATTTATCGGAGATGCCCGGCTGTTCTCTCATAAAAGAGTTCGAAAGCAAATTACGTCATTTAGTCATTGTTGGCAACACTTTGCACCATGATACTGAGCTTTTATGAGCTTTTTAATATCAGTTGATTTGTATGTGAAATTTGATTAGTTGTTAAGCCATCAAAATTAATTTAAAAAAAGTAAGTTCCAAACAAATTCCAAATATACCTAAAGTTCATGACTATTAATTTCAAAAGAAATTGCAATACAACAAAAAAATCGCTTCTGGATTTCTCATGAAATATCATTTTTAATTGTTATACAGGGATATGTATATATATATATATAATATATAACAGATAATCTTCATATAATATTCAGGTAGAAGAACGTATCCTATTACCATGACAGAGTACTTCGGCGCGTCCTCAAATTTGAATCTCCAATTCGTTAATATAAATGGGATTTTGCTTTACTTTGTCTGTAATTGTTCGTGTTGCTGTCATCCAAGCGGGCCATTAAACACTGAATGCGAGTTTCGTAGTGCGGATATCCAGATCTTCAGGACGCCTAAAAAAACATGCTGGCCGACAGACCAACGAACGTGTGCGGTGCATCAAGGTTACCAAAAATGATTGTCAGCATAAACAAATAAGGCGGGGGTGATGGGTCACATACATTATAAATCCCAAAATACTCTTCTGGTTTCACAATAATTTACCACGCAATACTATTAGAAGCGTCCGATTTTGATGCAAACTTTTTTGAAATGTTCGTGAACACGTAGGTGGAGTACCTGGGTCCCTGGTGAACATTTGCTCTTTTCCCCGACCGGGTCCTGTCATGAAACCTTCTTATGTCACCAGTGTTAAGTGCTTGTATAATTGCAACGTCTTCCCTGGTGCAGAACAATCCAATCCTGCAAAATGCACTCAGTAATTTTGCTTTCCAGTCTATCGAGAAAACATAAAAAAAACAAAAAAAACATTTCAACTGTATTTCCCAATGACGATAATATACGCAAATGTATATATATTTTTTTTCTTTTTCTTTCTTTAGTGTAATCAACAGTTTATACATTGTTCTATGAAAATGTGTATGCTTCCAATAAGAGAAGAGCCAAGTAACCTCTAACATAACAGTACCTCATGTTCTTATTCACGTTACGATTTGATAGCATCTGAAAGAATATCACGAAAAAATATCAAGAATAAAAAAAAGCTCAAAATGACTAACGAAACTGGGCCCTATGGCTCTAAATTATCCATTCATTACATGTTATTTTCATTGCCGAGTTGTTGTGTGTGGAATTTGCCTGTTGTCCAGTTAGGTGTATGAACTAATGTAACTGTTCAATGGATGACGTATCGCGTGCGTCATCCGGATGGGTCAACGAGGGTGAGAGAGTTAATCGAATTCCCTTAAAAATATAGGACAAACTTGTTCTATATTTACAGGTCCGTCTTGGCGTCATGGAGCATTAAATATACAATCCCTTCAATCTTGTGTCTTTGAGTGCATATACTAGTAGTGGGCCTGCGACTTACACGTTAATGAGTTATACAGAGCGTTGTTGCGTAAATACGAACACAACACAGTAATAGACTAACATCCCTTAGCAGTAACCGCGGCAGGGGCTCACTTAAGAGTTATATCGATATCCAAGTGTGCGTAACGAGCTTGTTGAGCAGTTTATCTTCAATCTGCGTCACGGCACCAGCAACGGCGTCAATCTTAGTAGATAAAACCGCCCACGACGGTATCCGTAATGGTATATAACATATTTAATTGCGGCAACTAATTCACTTTGATTTACATTTAGGCTCAGATATAAGCGCAATTGTACGGTATGATGTTTCAATTAGAAAAGAGAAGTTTAAATTGTATTTGCGTGTTTGTTTGTTAGTCATGAAACTACGAAATATCCGGCGACACTATTTTCGCGCAAGAAAATAAAAGAACGTATTTTATGGTAGGTCCCAAATATTTGGAATTCGTGGTAAGATTTACCTCTGGAGAGTTCTTCGACTTATTTTGTTTTGAAAAATAATTGCGTGTATTCCTTGTAAATATTTAACTATTATTTGTTTTGTGATAAAAGCCAAGATTTAAATTCGCACAGCAGTTGTGAAATTTCTATATCTATCCGGGAGTCATTTTAAAATTAATAAGGCTGTGGTTTGAGTAGAATAACACATGAACAAAGACGAAATATTGTTAACTGGTAATTTATTTAGCTAGATGCATTCAAAAAACAAAGATAACGTCAAATATGTTCCCCACCTTGAATAGATCATCTAATATGTTAAATTAATTAAATTGAAACAATTACTGAAGTAATGATGCTATATAATCTAAATCTAGTTGTGTCCTATTAGACTCGGAGGAAATATTGAAAAAAACAAGGAAAATACCTTCCCCCTGTGGGTTTTCGTTTCTTCGGTCTAGTTGCACACTGTTTGTGTGTATGTTGCCAGGCATAATTGGTGATGAATACACTGCGGCGATTAGAAATACTAATATCAGGAATATACTGCAGCACTGCTGAGACGACATTCTCCCGACACGATCACACTCACACTGCGTAGAAGAACAGATTAACACATGGCGAGTAAGCATTCACCTAAGTCATACAAAACAAAAATTCTGTTTCACGGGCTTGCAACACACAACAATTTCTCCGGATGACTATGTCATTTGAGCGATATTGCTCATACATTATAACAGTAGCGTCATTCATAAAATAACCGCAGTTTTTATTTAGGCATTATAATTTTTCATTTTTTAATACTATGCGCTGAATGTGTACCTGAATGTTGGTGCAGTGAGTGTAAATCTAAACAGTTATAGCTAATCATAAGTACGGTATACGATGCACAGCGCTCATATTTACCCTTCATAATCTTACTCTAACTGGGATTATTTAAATATTAAACTACTTTTGTTGCTTGAGATTACTTTGCGAAATCGTATACGATTGGGCATATGACGTGACCGAATTCATATCATTTTTAGCAATATCGTGACGACAAGGCAAGATTTGCACTATTAAAGTACCACGGATGTGATAACTGTGGTAATAATTTGTATCATACAGTGTGCTTCACGTTCAATACACATGTTTGATCTTGTAAGTTAGAGACATGATGTGCGAGTATTAACAATAAACGACATTCAAAACGAAACTAACGTTGTTGTCGTCACAAAATTAAAACATTCATTATAAGTTAATATGTGATGCGTTGGATAACTAATGTAGATACATGTCAATCATTCATTCCACAATTCAGAATGTTGTGTCGTTGTGGTAACGAGTTATATAGGATTAGATACAAATGTATTAGCTTATTAGTTACTTTCTAAACGATTGTTGAACACACATTCGCTTCATAAAATTAATTAATGGAGTATATTCTTCTTTATTAACTGAAATGTCAAAATATATCGAACCCTTATCTGGTTGTATATATGAACTATCGATGAACTTTACGCAGAGAAAAACAAAGGGTATGTTGAGTAGGCTGAACCGATTAAAGTCGTGTTGTCAGAGCTTAATTCAATGTTTATGACTTTCAGTTATATTCATATGCATAAAATATGCCTCGGGGGACTGTATCAAATTAGATACAACATGAAAGACTAATGTCTTATTTATAAATGCATAACAGCGTGTTTCCGGAAAACGTTAAATTTCAGGTGTCTGCTGTGCTTTTGAAGGTATAAGCTAACAATGCGGCTTGTTAAAGAATGACGTTTACTTAAATACCCCGCGGAATGAAAGGGAACACCATCAAAACCTAGAATAAGTTCAAAGTTAAAATACAAACAACAGTATGATAGCTACGCTGAGGATTACGGATTGGTCGAAACCTCGTAAAATGCGATGTTTGGAACAGATTATGTGTCGATTGTACATGTTCCCGCATAAACTATTTACCAAGTTGTGTATGTAATACGGCATGAATAAGTGATAATGATATTTTATTTTCTGATGGAAGTTGAAATGCACACTAGAGTAAAAGGTCAAATAAAAATGGTGTGTTTGCAGTACACAAAAACATATTCTTGCAACGAAAGTCTATATAAATATGCTTGCGCACTTTGCAATAATAATATATACCGGTATTTGGGAAAGCACGTGCTATAAATGAAACAAAGAAAATTCTCTCTGAAAATATTACAAACACAAATTGAAATATATACATTTATCCACACTATTTATTTAGGTAAATACTAAAAAAATAGATATAAGTTAAAATTCATCAAAACATTAATCCCAAACCCCTATTTGTGGCCACTTATATATACCTCCCGATCATATTTTAGACAATTCTAATGTCTACACGTCGAGTGTACAACATGTTGCCCTTGTTTACACCAGTCTTTTGACGGACATGTTTAATTGCCTTTAAAAAAGACAACAAGCATATTACCCCCGATCTCAACATATCGGTTGAAAACTCACCACGTAAATATTTATTTGGAAGTGAATTAATGAACTACCTGTTTGTAAATAACAATTTCTAACTCAGAAATTAAGCAACGTTGTATAACTGTATTTGCAGTGGTACAAAAAGATCATTTGATTATACGCGACGATCCACTCACTTCTTTCGCATGTGGGTCACCTGCCTGTTGACAAGCGTGACGAATAAAAGTTCCTTCTGATATGCATGTATCTCATAAAAACTATGAATTCTAACACTTTCATAGCCGGAGGATCCATCGCATATCATCGGAGCTCTATGTAATTTACGTACACTCATCACCAAGAACGTCAATTGCTCCCAGAGAAGAATGTTCTTATTGGTTCGCTGACGCTGATTGCTTCCTACATAGCTGGCGGGGTATCCAATCAAGAAATCCAACAAAAGAACTGAAGTGTCTATATGGTAATACGGCGAAGTAATTAAAGTGCGTGTGATCATATTGCATTGAGTTATCTGGTGGGCGACAGTCAGTACAAACAGATACCTAAAAATTGTAGCTCTCTATTTATGATGCTTTTTTTTTCAACAAATATTGATAAAGTATGTTGTTTCAAAATGCAATGTCTATGGTGGCATTTTGGAATATAAACAAGGTGAATAGTGAATCGCAGTACTATTATGAATTAACTTTAGCCGTGAGTGTTTTATAAGTTTAACATATGTGACACTTTGTGTATATAGAGCCGAAATTGATGAAAAAAAAAACATGATAATTTATATTATAAATAATATCCACATATCAACACTTGATGAATAATGTACGAGAGTTAATTACAATTTGTGGAATGATTCTTAACACAAAAAGGTCTAATAACACTGATAAATGAATTAATTAAATGCACAGCTACTACTGCCTACCGCGCGTAACCGCACAGTGTGAGGTGGCACAGGGCAGGTCAAAAAAGTGAAATGCGAATGCAGCGTAATGTCACATATTATTGAACTATTTGCATTCAATCAGGCCCTTTGCTTCCGGGTTTCAATAACACTGTATAACACGTTTATTAATATATGGCAGCAAACGTCACGATGGAACAAATCGCGTGAAAACAATCTGACGTTGAATAGCCAAAAGTAATACTCTGCTTTTGGTATTATTTCAGCAACAGTTCCATATTCTGCAACTTATATTTTTCCTGAATATATATGTGATAAAGATATAGTACTGTCCATGCCTAAAAATTTGCAACCGCTAACACCAAACTGTATATCTTGGCCTGGGATCTACTCAAGCTATAGTTATACACAAGGTTCAGAACAATTATAGCTCGTACGTTATTGTCCCAAGATGAAGGTAAGATTGTGTTTTTTTAAAGTTGATGAACAAAGGAGGGTCTAGGTAAACCGATCAAGAATTTAGCAGCCCCCCCCCTAATTAGAAAAAAAAAGAAAAAAAGATAGGTATCCAACATCGCATATTGCCGATAAATATTTACCAGGATTAGATTACTACGCAAGTTACGCAAGTTATCGCACGTCAATGTGAGCATAGATACTAATTCGTTAGTTCAGGATTGTATTATAGGATTGTATACAGATTGAAATATTGAAATTCATGTCAGATGCTTGAGATTGGTTTTGTATACGATAAAATGTATTCAAATCAAATCAGTATTTAACTTCACGGTGAATCGGTCATGCTATTTTTGTATGACACATCCTGGAAATTTTATTTCATTATTTGACTTTGTAGAATGTTAATTTTTTTTCAAAAACCTACATAGTTAATTTAATTTATAAATCTAAGTAAACACACATTTGTGATATTATATGCCACAAATATAGACTGTGGAAGGGGAATGTTTGCTCCGAGTCACAAACACAGAGGGGGCAACAAGAAATTAATTTATATCATATAAGAAAGTAGAATAAGACATGCGATTTAGATGTTACAAATCAGTTTAGGAAAACTTTGGTATACATTTAAAAAGTAGAGCATACCGCGCAACACAAAGAACTGATTATATCATTACTCAATGTGAATACGTCATAACACGCACTCCATTGACGTGATTACTAAGTGGTCCAATCTTACTGTGATATATAATAAACCTGTGTGTGTGTAACTGAGTCGTGATATTAAATCTACCACTGGCTTAATTGTGTTTATTAATTCACTCATCTGGTGTTATGTATTCCTTCTCGCCTACCATGCATGCAATCGAATATTTCCATTTGGATTATAATTGCCTAAAGGGTAAACACGGCTGTTAACATTAAGCTGCAAGGTCAAATCGGCTGTTTTCAATACGAGAAAACCTTCTGCAATCTTACATTGAAAAACATTCGATTCCATATTGTCTATCATTCACACGGCTTATTGTTCTATCCAAAATGAGCATGTTCGTTTTCAAAT